ATAAGGAACCTCTTTATACCAGTCTCTTCCCCTATGATTGGGGACTCCATGCCTCTAGCTGGGATTATAATGTCCAGACCTGGAGGAGCCCAGGGCTACCCACCTCTAAAAGTCAGAGGGCAGGAAGCAAGAAACAGTTATAGGGCTGCTCTGGAGGGGGCTGGGGTCACCTTCCCTCCAGCTAGAGCTGCCTTTGGCCTGGCACCTCCCTCCCCAGAGGTGGTGCCCGCCTCCCAGCCCTTCTTGGATGGGGCAAAGGTTACCATCTCCTTCACCTCACTCAGCTCTCCTGCAGCTCCTTTACTCGCTGCTCCAACTGCAGAGCGCTCTTGTCCTCCTTGTTCTGGACAGAGAGAAGCAATCAGTGGCCATCCACTGCAGCTGGAGAACCCTGAACTTGGTGTCTGTCTCCCATGTCACGGGGAAGGGTGGAGGCAGGTTAGAAAAATCATCCCCTCCCCCACAGCCATCAGAGCAGGGCCTGATGAGCTCTGGCTCACAGGTGCCTTTAGAAGTACATCTCATGTGAGGGCTACACTGCCCCATTTTACAGGTGGGAAACAAAGGCCTGGAGGGCTAGGGATGAGGGCAGCCTCCCCAGTGGGGCAACCCACCAGATCCTCGAAGCCGCACTGTGGCTCGGCCAGCTGCTTGTCGAGCTTGTGGTCTGGGAAAGCGTGAGCCTCTCCTCCTGCTTTCGTAGCCTCTCCTCCTGCTTTCGCAGCCTCTCTTCCTGCTTTTGAAGCCTCCCTCCTGCTTTTGTAGCCTCTCCTCCTGCTTTCGCAGTCTCTCTTCCTGCTTTCGCAGCCTCTCACCCTGATCCCTAAGCCTCTCCTTTGCTCACGCAGACTCTCCTGCTCCTGCAGCGTCCACTCCTCCTGCTCCCGAAGCCTCTCATTTTGCTCCCACAGCCTCCTCTCCTCCAGCTCCTGAAGCCTCTCCTTTTGCTCCTTGCTCAGGAGACTCAAGGCCTGGTTGTTTCCACCTGGAATTGCAGTTTTTCCACCAAACTCTCCACCTCCTTCCTCAGGTGTTTGGGCCTCATCTTGTAGCTGCTCCACCTCAGAAGGCCCTGCTGGGGGCCCCGAGCATGAGGGCTCAGCTGAGAAAGGAAGCAGACAATAAGGGCCTCTGGATTCCTCTTCCCACCCCCTCCCCCCTGAAAAAAAAAAAGAAAAAAAAAAAGAAACAACCCTCCTCTTGATTCACAGCTCCTCTCAGGCTTCCAAGCTTGGCCTCCACTGCTAATGATTCCTCGCACCCGATGGTGCCCATTTCCAAGCCACTTTCAGATAGAGAGCACTGTGGGTGGCTGACAATGGGCACTCCTCCCTCTTTGCTGATGGGGACCCTGAGCTCATGGAGATGACAAGACTTGCTGACTCCTGGCACAGACCACTTTCCCACTGCCTCAAAGCCCTTCCATTCACCCACCTCCCTGGGGCATCCTAAGCCACCCCACAGCCCTCTGATGCCAGTTCTGCTCCCAGGTCACACCAGCCCCACCTTACCTATCTGGTGTTTGAGTTCGGACAAGGTCCTTCCAGCTCCTGTATCGATATGTGTCACGCATCTTCTCCTCCTTCAATGTGCGAGCCTGCCCAAACACAGAGGGAAAGGGCCCTGGAGAGGGGCTGGTGGCTGGACAGGCTACCCATCTCCTCTCTGCCCCCACCTCCACAAAGCCCAGACCCACGACCACCTCTGGCTGTACTAGTCCCATTTTACAGATGCCCAGAAAGACCCAGTGACCCATCTAAGGTGGGGCTGAAGGCTCAGGTCTCACCTCCACCGACATTTTCCGCATCCTCTCCTGCCACCGGGCCCTCTCTCCTTTTATATGTTGCGCATATTCGTCTCTCTGCAGCTGGACTTGTTTCAATGACTCTGTCACCTGCAGGAATGGGCACAGAAGTGAGGAAGGGCTGTCACTGGTCCTCACCTGCTCCTGGTCCCCTGGGTCATCTTCCTTCCACATCCCTCCCTCTGCAAAGCCTCACCTGTGTCACGTGTGCGTTCGCAGCGCCCGCTCCTTTAAGGTCTGCCGGAACTGCGCTGGAGGACGGCTTCACTGCGGCTCGAGGACTGGATGTGAAGAGTGAGAATTTTGATCTGGGGAGCCCGGGCAGTGCCCCTCAAAAGGGTTATCGCTAGGCTCAATATACAACTCGTCAGTAAAGATCAAGCATTTCCAAGCCCGTGGTCTGGTTTTAGAAGAACTCAGTAAAGTTGGAAGGACAGGGAAAGAGATCAATTTACTGCTGGCTAACGGAGGCCAGAGAGATCAGATCATATTACAATTGTATTACTGTTATTACTACCACTGTTTGAACCTAATGGAGTGCTTCACCAGTACCATGCTAACAATCCCATTTAATCCTCACAACCACCATATGAGACATTTACTAGGGTAACCTCTATTGCGTAATGAAAAACATGGAGTATTCGAGGTTAAGTGCTTGCGTAAGATCACTTAGACAGAGCTGGGATTTGAACACCCAGTCTATCCGATTCTCTAAGCCCATTTTTCTTGCTAGGTGTGGGGGCACAGATAGAGGGGGGAAAATTAATCTTCTGTTCACTTTTTGAAAGGATGATACATTCGCATCATCCAAAACTCAGAAGGTACAGAAGGGAAGTGTCTCCCAGCCGCCCTGTCACTCTCTCCTGAGTTTTTTATGAACACTTGCAGACATGTTTTATCTATAATAGTACACACACACACACACACACACACACACACACACACACACACACATCTTTCCTCTCTCTACAGAAATGGTGACATAGTAAAGGTACTCTTCTGTACCTTCACAGTACAAGTACCCGATACCCCACCTGGGACTTGCCCAAGCCACAGCCAGGTAAGGGCAGGGCAGGCACTTGGCCTCTGAGCTCTGTGTCCAGTGTTTGCTCCCGACAATGCCCCCAACTCACCCACAGCAGCTGACTCAGCCCCAGGCTGCCTCTAACAACCACACACAAAAGCAGCGAGAAATGAGCACGCTGCCTTCTGGGCAGGACACTGCATCCTGCAGAAGGGACCTTTAGGCTCACTCCTGCATCTGGGAAAGCCAGGCTGCCAGGGACGGGGCAGCTGGTTGGACTCACCCTGTCCTCTTCCGCTGCTGTGTACACACAGCAGAGAGAGCCCGCGCTCCAATTCTTGAATACGCTGTAAGGAGGATTGCAGGCGGCCGGCCAGATCCTTGGACTCTTCTTAATGACAGAGTGAGATGGGCCCAAAGGACTCCCCCTAAAGACCTGTCAAAGTGCCAGGTGAAGGATGATGGGTGCCCACGTTCTCACCTTCGAAGTGTCTGGCGGCACGGTTAGTATGGTAAAGGTGGGTCTTCAAGGCTGCCTTTCCAATGTGAGGATGTTGATGTCTGGGAATTGAACGTTTGGAGAAAAGCCAAGCAAGTGCTGAAAGAGACGGAAAAGAAACATTCTCCGAGGACAGGAGGAAAACTCCCCACCCTCCACTCACCTCTAACTGCTCCGTCTGTGCTTTGTGGTATGTCATTGTTTGCTTTCTTCTCTGTAGGAAGAGGAAGACAGAGCTCTTACCCGGGGGAGGCAGAGATGGCACAGCAAGAACATGCCCCCCAGCATGGCCCACCAATGCCCCAGGACAGGCACACCCAGGACCAGTTTTCAGGGACCCTGTGGGTATGGGGAATCTGAGGGGGGAGCCTTCTTCCCCAGGCTGGGAGTGGGGAGACGAGGACTGGTGCCTCTACCATCTGAGTGCCCCCCAAACCCAGCAGTCATGTTGTGTGCAAACAAAGAAATCCGTTACTTCTTCAGCTGATGTTCCACTGTTCCTTCTGTGTTTCTGTGGGAGAGTCAAAATTCAGTGACTGAGGGGGGGGCCCTCAACTCTATTCTCCAGCCAGGAAACGGTGGCAGGGCCAGGAATGGATTTTAAAGGCCAAAGTTCTACAGACCCAGTGGCAACATGAACTGGTCAACTCTCCTCAAGCTCCCAAAGACAGAGGATTTGGGTCTTTGTTGTTTTTGCCCACAGCCACAGAACTCAAAGTCTGAACTCTGGATTCTCTCAAAAGACAGTAACATAAAACCTCTAGAGTCGGAGTCTGAGGGAAAGGCCCACCGTTCTGCCAGTTTGTGATTGTAGAAAATGTGTTCATCAAACGAACGTTTACTGAGCACATACGGACCAGGCACGGGTCTTCACAGCACAGATACAGGACAGAAAAGGACAGACGGGAGCCGTTTGGCCCCTGAGGTTCCATTCTAGGGCTTTTTTTTTTTTCTTTTGAGACAGAGTCATCGCTCTGTCACGCCCAGCTAGAGTGCAGTGGGCGCAATCTCTGCTCCACCTGCAAGGGTCCGCCTCCTGGGTTACGCCATTCTCCTGCCTCAGCCTCCCCAGTAGTTGGGACTACAGACGCCCACCACCCGATCGCACGGCTAGTTTTTTTTTTTAGTAGGAAGAGGGGTTTCACCATGTTAGCCAGGGATGGTCTACGATCTCCTGACCCTCGTGATCCACCCGTCTCGAGCCTCCCAAGTGCTGGAATTACAGGCTTGAGCCACCGCACCTGGCCCATTCTAGGGGCCTTTAACTCTGGACTCTCAGAGCTAACAGAGACCTTTGATACTCTACCTCCTCTGGAAACACAAGCCCAAGGAGGAGAGCTGGCTAGTCCAGACTCAAAGAACAAATTAGGGACTGAGTCAGGGCAAATACGGAGCCCCTAACAACCCTCACTTCTCTGAGAGGCGAGAACCCCAGGGTGTGTGTGGCAAGGACTGGAGCAGAGGTGTCTGAAGACGAGAGTCAGCAAACAGGACAGTGACAGAAGAGCCATGCTGCATGCTCCTTGCTCTGGGGTCCCCAGGTGAAGCCCAGGCACTCCAGCTCCCCATTAACCCTTGGCACCAGGGGCCCTAGCCCCTTTCTTCAGGGCCCAAGGGGAAACTGGAGTCCAGGATTGGCAGCATGGAATCAGGAGACCCCACTGGACTCTTACCAATGATTCTATGTTTTCATTGAGTTGATTGATTGTTGCGGAGCTTGAGTCCAGGGCTACTTCCAGTTCTTGGTACCGGCTCTGAGGCGCACGCAGAGAGGAGGAGTTGGAGGAGGGTTGCGGGGAGAGGTAGAGAGAACAATCATTAGGGCTGGGGTGTGTGTGGGCTGTCTCAGCTGGTAGAGGGGCACCCAGCTCCCACTGTGAGAGGAGGTTGGAGGGCTGGCATGAAAGGTCACTGCTCTTCGGCCCAGGGCCTCTTACCTCTAGATCCTTCAGGGTAGCAGATGATGCAGAGGTAATAAAAATGAGAAATGAAAAAAAAATGCTTTCATGGGAAACAGTTATGGATATAAAGTATAAAAACAGTAAGGGACTGGGCACAGTGGCTCACACATGTAATCCCAGAAATTTGGGAGGCTGAGGCGGTGGATCACGTGAGGTCAGGAGTTTGAGACCAGCCTGGCCAACATGGTGAAACCCTGTCTCTACTAAAAATACAAAGATTAGCCGGGCACCCTGGCAGGTGCCTGTAATCCCAGCTACTCAGGAGGCTAAGGCAAGAGAATCGCTTGAACCCAGGAGGCAGAGGTTGTAGTGAGCCGAGATCGCACCACTGCACTCCAGTCTGGGTGACAGAGACACTCTGTCTCAAAAAAAAAAAAAAAAAAAAAAAGCCCCAAATCCCACATGCCTGCTCTGTACATTATTCCCAAATTACTTTTAAACTTTAAGATATGTCTCACCATTTCCAAGATTATAAAAGATGTGGGGAAGGAAAAAACCCAATCAATCAAGCAGGTGAAGAAGCAGACATAAACAGGCTGAAGGTTAATGGCAGCAACATAAAAATAAGCCAGAGGCAAAGTATCCCCCAAACCAGAGAAGCCTCAGGGGCATGCACAGCTGCAGACAAAAAGCCAGAGAGGGTCCTGGCACTGCCTCGCCTTCCACTTTTTCAATGGGGTAGCACTACCCCATTGGAGTGGTTAAGGTTGGACACCAGCACCTTCAGAATGTCCTGAATCTACAGGAGGTGACAAGGGAAAAAACAAGGCAGGGGGAGAAAGACAGAAGTGGTTTAGAGAGAAGCAAGAAAGTCAGGGTAGGAGGAAGACGTGGGTTCAGGAAAACGAAATGCTGAGGAAGAGCAGAGGAGATTAAAACCATGGCCTATGCCGTTCTTCCAAATGGCCACCTGCGGCCTTTCCGGGGCAGGAACAAATAGATGGAAATGTTCCCTGAGCGATGCAGTCACAGGGTAGAGTCACCTGACCAATGCAGCTCTTAATATGCTCACTGGACCCCTCTCCTCAGGCCCAGGATGTGGGCGATGAATCTGGTAATGCTCCAGACCTCCACCTCCATTAATAAAACCAGACTTCTGAGTAAGGGTTCACTTGAACTAAGGGGGCTCCAGCTAAAAAACAAGTTTCAAAGACACTGATCTTGTCCAGTATCATCTTACAGAGGAGGAAACTGAGGCCCAGGAGAAGAAGTGATTTTTCTGTGGTCACCCAGCAAGCTGGTGGCAAGTTAGATCTTCTCTTACTCCTAGTGCCTGGGGCTTTCCTCACCACACACTGGAGCCCCCTTCGGTGACTCCTAAAGGGACAGCCTGATGGCAAGTGACTGTACTCATTGGCCCAGGTTCCCCTTGAGACTGGGGATGAGGAAAATCAAACAGCAATGACCATTTCCTGGGTGTCCTGGGTGTTTACAGCAGGCCATGTACTAGGGATTAACATAAAAACAACAACAATATGAAATCTCATTTAAACTTCACAAATGGAAGTCAAACCACACTACCCCTATTTTACAGATGTGAAAAGAGAGGCCCAAGGAGCTCAAGCAACTGACACAAATCAGATCCCTAGCAGATGGAGAGGCAGGATTCAAACCGAGAATTCTAACAAGTACCCAGCAATCTCAACAATTACCCTCTACTGCCCCTTGGGCCCCCTGTCCCCAGGAGACTGGCCAGCCAAGACTCACATCCCCAGGTGAGTGGCAACCACCAGAAGTGGTTGTCTCAGGGCTACGGCCAGTAGTTTTCTTTTTCGTCTTTGCTCCTGCCGGAACACCAGGGCTGCTCCTCTGCTGATATTCTTTTAGCTGTGGGAAAGAAGAGCAGTAATACTCATGAGAACTACCAGCCCCTACAGCCACATCCTCCTTTACAGTTTTTGCAAAATACTCTTATACACCATCTGATTTAATGCCACCAAGAACTGTACATGTGTTGCCACAATCACTTAGTGACCGAGAGGGATTGATATTATGGCTAAAAATGAAAGGCGGGGGGCAATAATGGAACTTAAACTCAGTCTTCTGACTCCAAGCTCTGGGATTTTACCACGAATCAGCAGCTGCCAGGGACCAAAACCAGAGGCAGTGGTAGAAAAGTCAGCATTAAGTAGGCAGGAACTGTACGCTGTGTGGTTTAGAGTCATACATCCTCACACGTCTGT